ATATATGTGTGTGTGTATGTATACATATATGTATACATATACATATGTATATGTATATGTACATATATACATATATATGTTTATACATATATATACATATACATATGTATATATATACATATATGTATACATAAACATACACATGTATATATGTATGCATATGCATACATATGTACATATGTATATGTACATGTATGTGTGTGTGCGTGTGTGTGTGTATATATAGATACATATATACATATGTATATGTATGTATGTATATATTATACATATGTATATGTATGTATGTATATATACATACATACATATATACATATGTATATATGTATGTATATATGTATGTTATGTGTGTGTGTGTGTGTGTGTGTGTGTATATATATATATATATATACATATTATATATATATATATATATATATATATAATATATATGTATGTATGTGTGTGTGTGTGTGTGTGTGTGTGTGTGTGTGTGTGTGTGTGTGTGTGTGTGTGTGTGTGTGTGTGTGTGTGTGTGTGTGTGTGTGTGTGTGTGTGTGTGTGTGTGTGTGTGTGTGTGTGTGTGTGTGTGTGTGTGTGTGTGTGTGTGTGTGTGTGTGTGTGTGTGTGTGTGTGTGTGTGTGTGTGTGTGTGTGTGTGTGTGTGTGTGTGTGTGTGTGTGTGTGTGTGTGTGTGTGTGTGTGTGTGTGTGTGTGTGTGTGTGTGTGTGTGTGTGTGTGTGTGTGTGTGTGTGTGTGTGTGTGTGTGTGTGTGTGTGTGTGTGTGTGTGTGTGTGTGTGTGTGTGTGTGTGTGTGTGTGTGTGTGTGTGTGTGTGTGTGTGTGTGTGTGTGTGTGTGTGTGTGTGTGTGTGTGTGTGTGTGTGTGTGTGTGTGTGTGTGTGTGTGTGTGTGTGTGTGTGTGTGTGTGTGTGTGTGTGTGTGTGTGTGTGTGTGTGTGTGTGTGTGTGCACACATATATATATATATATATGTGTGTGTGTGTGTGTGTGTGTGTGTGTGTGTATGTGTGTATATATAGAGAGAGAAATATGGCACAAATTTTGTGCTTGGTAGTGATGTGTCACATCCTCATCCACTCACTACCCATGTGAATTTGTTCCCACATTTGAATGAGTGGAGGGGGATTTGACACCTCACTACCAAGTACAACATTTAGTCTTTTGTTTTTGACTCATATCTTATCCTCAACAATCGCTTCACTATGTTATATATTGAAACTATTGTTTTTTTATTTTTCAGGTTAAAATATCTGGTGGGGGTAGGTGCAATGTAACAAATGGGCATTTTCTTGAGAAAATAGTGAGTCATCTATGACTTATTGGAACATTTTTGTTTTGCTAAAGCAATATGCCTTTTTGCCATATTAAATTTTGAGTGCTTGCTCAGTTCATCTTGTCTATGGGCTTTTTGTAGTTCATGTATTATCTTTTTTAATTCTTTATAAGGTAGGGGTGCGTCATGCCCTTGCAGTATTGCAACATGGGCACTGCTCGAGGGCACTAGCAGCAGGCTACTGTGGTTGCCCCCCCTACCCACCCACCCAAAAAAAAAATTTATCATGGTGGGCTAATGGCCTACGGATCTGATAATAAACTGACAAGAACAGAAACTACACTTAATATTAGTATGATTTCATAATGTGTAAAGTGTGACACATAATTGTAAAATTTGTTGAGATCTTTGAGAATTTTGGAATGGAAACTTCATGAATGATGACATTGGGAAATAAATGGTATTAGCATATATGCCATTATGTTTATAATAAATAGCATATTTCATCTTGCTTTTTGCTTATTTCTATATGCAATCTTATGTTCTTGAGTTATATTTCAAGTTTGCAACTATACCTTGGTTTAATGTGATAAATAATTAGTGAAATTTTAAGTAACATTAAATCCTAATGGCCTTCACATGATTTTCATCACTTTGTACTACTTTGTGGGATGAAATATGCTTTAAAGACAATCAATTTCGATCATTTAGGCAAGCGTACACTTTTAATATACCTAGTTTGGTTCAGGGATTAATGAAAATTATGACTATGTTCTTCTTATAAACATTTTTGGTTGGATAAATTAAGAATTGGTTTATATCTATCGTTGAAACCAAGTAAGTCATGTTTCCATAACTTGTGAGTTTATTCAATATATACATGGACTGATGAAAGAAGGATATACTCTCTACAAATGATGCGTTATTATTGATAAAGAAGCTCTATTCAGTAAACTATCCAAAAAAAGGACTGTGCTTGCAAAATGTTTGGGCAACTTTAACCAATGAGTGCCTGAGATGGTTAAATGTCTGGAATGCACCTTTTAGGGGAGGAATTTACTTAAAGTCGCAGAAAAAGTATGGTATAAGGTAGATCAACCAAGATGTTAACTGAAACAATAGAGAAGTATATGCTGGTTCCAACTTATCAGCCGCAGGAGTTAATGGAGAAGAAAGGACACATCTAGATGAAAATTGAGTGAAAGGATGTTGTTTTATGATGTTTACTTACCTCTTATGAGGTAGCATTATTGGGTTTCTATGAAGTATCTAAACTGAATTAATTGATATATTTTAGAGGCTTATCATACCTTTTCTCCTTAAAATTCTCTGATAATTGGTATTATGTTGGAGGTTTGACTGGCCCATGTGATTATTGTTGTTTTGTAGTCTTCCTACTGTACCTGTAGTTTTTTATTTCCATTATTATATTTTTAGGCTACTCTTATGTTTTTTTTCATTGATGGTGATGCAGAGTATTTTGCTGGATCTGGGTTCTTATCATGCATAAAACACATTTTCTTGATTTTCTTTTTCATTTTTGCATCAGTTTCTGACAAATTGATTCTAGTCATAATTACCTTCAGAACAAATTAAGCACTTTGCTAGTTTCATTCATGAATAGTAAAAAAGTAGTCCATTTTGTACATTTACAATAAGAAACTCTAGCAGCATTTCAAAGAGGCACTCGATTTTGTTTATTAGGATGCAGTCCACAATGTAGACTGTTTCTGACGTTATTAGGTTTTTGCTGCTAACATCTATATTGTTGACTGGATATGCAGTCTTGTTTATTGTTATTGTTATAATGCAACCCTGGGGTATGGATATGCAATTTTTACAAGGCAATTTTGCTTTTGCTTGCTGCATATTGTAGAGGTTAGCAGAAAATTATCCGAGGGGTAGTAGAGAACTACGTTTTGCTTTTGCTTGCTGCATATTGTAGAGGTTAGCAGAAAATTATCCGAGGGGTAGTAGAGAACTACGTGGATCTTTCTTCAATATTCATGGTCCGCAGGACACAATGCATTGGTTCTCTGATCATGGAGTTGATCTTAAGGTTATCTAATTGAATCATGGTCCGCAGGACACAATGCATTGGTTCTCTGATCATGGAGTTGATCTTAAGGTTATCTAATTGAACCATGTAGCGTCATTGGTTTTCTTCCTTTATGTTCTTGGGTTGAAGATATCTAAAGATCCTAAACTACTATCATGTCCTCTTCAGACAGAAGAAGACGGAAGAGTTTTTCCTGTAAGCAATAACTCAGCTTCTATAGTAGATTGCCTACTTAATGAAGCAAACAAGAGAGGAGGTATGGTTTAGTATCCTTCGGCTGTATGTTTCATTATAAATTCTATTATAGTGGAAGATGATAAATTTTGATCATTTGCAAATAATCAGTTTTTCTTCTGTCATTATCGTTTGTGCTTGAATTTTTTTCCCTGTTTGTAAAATTGGCTCTAGCCATGCCGATGAGTGTAAAAGCTAGCTTGAATGGGTTATCCTAGGTTCAAATCACACTATGGCTTTTATTGGAGAATTTTTTTGCATGTTATGGAGTTATTGGTTCACAGCCTTCTTTTGAGTCTGAGTTCTTGACTTGTCCATTTTATATATATATTGCATATTTTAGAACAGTTGGGCAACTTTCTACTACTCTATAAGGTTAGAATTGTTTCCTCTTGTATTTTGCAAAAATATCAAACTTTAATTAAAAAGAAAAAAGAAGCTTTTGCTAAAGCATTTCTGTATACGTGATCAGCTGGTCGAAGAAAAAATAATACAATATTATTATTAAGTGTTCATTTATGTGCTAAATTTTTTTTTAGAATACTTTCTTTAAGACAAATATTCACGGTATGGTGCTTGCTAAAGTAAAATGCTGCAACACTGGATAAGCAATTGTTGTGGTATTATCTTAGTTTACATTTTTCAAACATGTTAAATTTTTTTCGTAAATTTATTGTAGCATGTATCTTATGTTCGATTACTGGAGGTTTAACTGTGGAGATACTGGAGCACAAGAAACTGAAGGCAAAACTACAAGCTGGGAACAGTGATAGAAATTATGAGTAAAATCTTTGTACTGCATAAGGTTTTTTCTATTTTTTTGGACTCGGACATGGCCTTAATAATTGCTCTAATTCCATTAACTTTAACACATTTGATAAGTTTTGTCTATTTAATGGTACTTTTTAACTCATTAATTAATATTATTAAGACGTATCAGAAAAAGGTTTTTTTGATTAGGTTTCTGTGTATCATTGCTCGGTTGATTGGTGATCACCTGGAATCCATCAACTATTAAGCTAACCCAATAAATTTTGAGATGATTTACGTTTTATATTTTTTTCATATTAACTCTGTTGCTGTTCTATTGTATTCTAGCTGGTGAAGGTGCATCTTCACTGAAAATGCATATACTTAAATATGCATGGTATGAATATATGTATCAAATATTAAGTTCTAGTTATTCATCCATATTATCTGTTGTGTATATTAATCTCAACTACTATGACGATTTTTCTGGAATAAGGTCTTACCATTTATGTTAATCCCAAGACAGTTCTGTACTGGTCGAATGTTGGACATTCTCACATATCTGTACAATATATTGTAGATTATTTTATGCCATGCAATGCAATCACTATGCAACAAGAGTTTCTGAGTCGGGCACATTTTTTTTTTCAAGTGACATTGCAGACTGGAAAAGTTGTTACAGATGCTTCTGTCAGTGATAATGGGAAGTTTCTTTTGAAGGTTGAGAAACGTACAGTTGACTTGGTGGAGTATACGGAGGCTGATTATTTATTAGTTGCTTCTGGGAGTAACAAACAGGTAGAAATATTTTATTCTGGTTTGAAGTACAACGGCAAGAGTTTGTTTTTATATGACTGATTCTAATGTTTTTTAGGGTTATGCAATTGCTGTTCATCTTGGGCATTCTATTGTAGACCCAGTCCCCAGCTTATTCACTTTCAAAATTGATGATACACGACTGACAAGTTTGTCTGGGGTAATCATCTTCCTGAAGATGCTAGCTTAAACTTTGCTCTAGGTTTTTCTTTATTTAAATTCTGGTGCCATTGCTGTTTAATTGCTTACTTTCTTGGCTTGCAAATGATTAAATGTTTAGGGTCTAACAATTATTCAGGAACTTATGTCCATTTCTTTCTTGATCGATTTTTGAAGATGACATTAAGTTGGTGGTTATTCAGGACCTTATTTATTTTAATACAAGCAGGTTTCATTTCCCAAAGTCAAAGCCAGACTGAAATTGGACAATGTTCACAGGAATACCCCAGAGCTTACTCAGGCAGGTAATTCTCTTTGATTAGTGGTTATAAGAAGAAGATTCACACCATTTCATGATTTATTGCAGGTTGGGCCTATGTTAATTACTCATTGGGGTCTTAGCGGTCCAGTGATTCTTCGGTTATCTGCTTGGGGAGCGCGTGATTTATTTATTTCTAATTATAAAGGTAGACCCTGAAGAAAGTTATAGTGAAATAGTACCAAATTGGAAACAATTAATTTTGGAAGAATATTAAAGGTCATTGTTTGTTAATCAATTCAGAGCTAGTAAGATCATTAGGATTCAAAGAAGATTCACAAATATTTTACTTCTATTAGTAACCCAAGCTCTTGATTGTACTCGTTATTTGTACAAATATTAAGTACCTTGTTGAAGAGGTATGATGTTAAAACCTTGTAAGCATTACTAATTCTCCAACATCAGGTTATCTTTCTGGTCCGTGGTATTTGAGATTTTTTTTAACAGAAATTATTTTCGTAAAAGACCTTTTTGGCCGAAACAACCCTCTCTCTTGTTAATATTTTGACTTCTATGTTTTTTTATTATTATTAATACTACCCCTCAATTGGATAGCATCATATATCATATTCTCACTGCTTGCTAGAAAGATGCTTTCTTGTTAAATCTTCAACTGACTTTAATAAATCATCTAACTTGTTAACTTATATAATGTGATTTTACAATACCATTTTCATAAGCATCATTAAGACTCACAAACTAACGAAAGCTGATCTCCATAAGTTCCGTTCTCTTATGAGGGTAAGATTATCAGCAAAGAAGATTGCAACTTGATTATTACATTTAAAAGTCATGTGGTTTGGATGATGGAAGCCATGTTTTGCAAAAATATTTCAATCCTACCAGCTGACAGATAGTATTTTCCATCGCGCTGGTTTGGGGTTTTGTTGACTGCTGTTCTTTTGATTAAAAGGAGGCTAGGATGGCTGGTGTTGGCGAGAGAATAGGATGCTGTGGTTTAGACTTTGCAAAGAGAAGATTGATTACTCAGCAGCTAGATGAAGGAGACAAGGGGGTTTCCGTGCCTGCAGAACAGAGAAAAATAAAGAAGTTTTATAGTTTGTTGGCCTCTCATCAAGTAAAATCACCAGCAATCCAAACTCTTAGAATTATCAAAATTAATCAATCTCTCAAATAATTTCTGAAAATCTAGTATATTGAGAGACTCCAAGAAATCCTAATACAAAAATAAGGCAAATACTCGAATCATATAATATCCTAATACAAAAAATAACTTATTGACTCAAATCATCAAATAAAATAAAAAAAGCAAATTACTAGAACTCAAATCTAATAACTTATCCTAAACTGAAATCAAATTACTAATCCTAAACTAAACTTTTAAGTTCTCTAATTGGATTAAACTAGGATTCTTCCTGCGAAACCTTGGTATGTTTCTTTTATCTGCCGTTATCCAAATTTCATATTGAAAATGTTGTTGTGCATCACAAATTTCTGTTGAAGAGGTTTACATCCTAGAACTGAATTTAGTATTTCTTCATGAATATTCTGTTATTCAACAAAAAAATCGTAGAAGAAAAAGAAAGAAGTCTTCTAGCTATTACTGCTTATTGAACTTTCCACAAAGATATGATTAAGAAGCCTAGGTTGTTCACATTACATTAATCTAACAACTGCAATCCTAAAATATTGTACACAAAAGTTCCCTTTTTCATTAGACCCATGAATATTTGAACTCATAGTTGTCAAGCTGATTGTCAGTAAGAAACTAGTTTTCTTCTATTTAAGTTCTTGTCATTTATGATTATTGCTTCTTGATATGTTTACTTATTCCAAAATGCAACTTATGGCTTTTGCTTATTGAGCGGGATTGAAACTCCACACTTGAGCTCCCATAACCTGAAGCCTCATTGTTGTTTCTACTCAATTAGAAAGTTAATCCAGATCTTAAATGCTTGTATACCTGATAAACTATCTACTGTCCTACCTAACATGGCATTGTTTTATGTGTAATCAGTGTAAAATAAATCGTAACCCAGCTGATAACCTATCCCCTTCGGTATTCTGTTTTTTTGGAGTTTATCCTCTCTTTTAATTTCTTAGTTATCTGGATTTCGATGCAGGTATGCTTTTTGTAGACTTTGCTCCTGATATTCATATAGAAGAAGTGAAACACATTCTTTTTCAACATAAGGATGATTTTGGGGTTTGTTTACTCCTCAGTTCTTGCCTTTTCCACTCTTTTATACGTGAAGCTTTATGTGGTTGACTTTGTCATTTTCAACTTCATAGTTAAACTTCTAATTTGTGAACCATTTAAAGGCGTGTTTTCTGTTGAACTACTAGCCTGAGCTTTCAATAAGCATGTAGTACCAGGTAAATTATTTACTCATGCTCGGCATAAAGGATAATGGTTAATGTCCCTAGCCAAGATAATAAGTTGCCATACTTTGTGAATGATAAAAAGAGGGGAAGGATAACATGGTTTTTCTCTTCTTTGAATTTGACAAAATTTTAAGCCATGTAGCTAAAGCATATTTAGCTATAAGGTCATAAGCTTAAGTACTTATCCATGAGGCAGCTTCCCTGTCTACTGATTCTTAATTTTTTTATATATTATATTTTTTTATTTTTTGATGCACCATGTCCATCTGCACGTAGTTTGTTAGCTAGGAGTTTGCCAGTTAGATAACATACATTAGATCAACGACCAGTCTGGTCACTTGGTCAATCTTTTATTATAAGCATTCTTAGGTTAATGTTACTTTCATAGTGGATCCCAGCAGTTCAATCGTATATGTTGATAAAAATTAGGGTCCTTTTCCATCATGTATACCCTGGAGATGATATGTATTTTTAGAACAATTACTCTAAATTATAGTAGTTGCTACATTATCCCCTAAATTGTACTCATCACTCAATTTACAGCCCCCCACCCCCCACACCTCCACCCCCCAAAAAAACCCACAGGCGCTTTTAGGAAATAAATTTTGAATATTCTGTAAAATGTTTTTTTTTGAAATAACTAAACCTAATTAAGTTAATAAACTTGAAATAGATAATTGTAACATTGTTCAAATTCCAATGCCTCTCTCTCCTCTTTTCTATTGTTGCTTTCCATTTTATTATTGTGTTCATAGTGTTCCTACTGTCGTTGACATCTTCTTGTCTTCTTGTATTTACATATTCCTACCTTTATCAAGAACTTAAATGTTTAAATCCTAATATAATTTGAATCAAACTAACGGGGGTACTAAATTATTTCAGAAGCAGAAAGTAAACAATTCATTCCCGGTAGAGTTTGGATTGGTGAAAAGATTTTGGAGATTTCTACTGGAGCATGAGGTTATATAATATGTTACTTTTGTACTTACATATCACACATACATAAATATATCACACACGTATACATATCTACTTATTAAGCATTTTGAAGAAAATCTTCCTTTCAATTCGCTGACAGGCTATCAAAATTGGAAACAGATTATGTTTACTTTGATCAGATTTTTTTTAATTAAAATATTAAATCATGTGGTCTTGAAAGTCGATAAAAATGGATGTTTGATGAAGTTATTTAAACAAAGGATTTTAATCCCTCCACTCATATTGATATTGGGCGACAAATTTTAGTGTTGATTTTAAAAATCAAGAGAAATCAAACAGTATTGGTTCCGAAGAAATAGATGTCAATATCTGAAATTTCCATAGTATTGATCATTCACAAGCTTTCTACCTTCATTTTTTTTTAAAAAATTTCCCAATATAACACTATTAAATAATATTTGGTACTTGAAAGCTAAGATATCATGTGTCTGTCATTATTAGTTAATATCAGTCTACATTGCTTGTCATTTGCCAAATTGTTAGTATAAATTGTTTTCAGTTTGATTAGATCATCATGCTTAAAATATGATACAGTCGAAACGTATCGATGTCAATCAATATTTCAAACTTTGGTTAACCCTACTGGTTAGGATTTTTCTAAAGCCAGTTGCAACTGCTATTTGAAGAGTTTTATGTTGTTCAAGTCATGACTGAAAGTTTTGTTTTTTCACCTTTATGCCCATGGCATAGTTCTAAGCAATAAAATAATTTTGGCCATCCATCTTTTGCCACATAAGGAATATACCAAAAGCATTTCAATGCATTTGCCATTCACTAATAAGTTGATCAAATGAAGATAGTGCATTTTGATATGACTGTTTGATCTTTGAGTTTAAAATGGTAATAGTCGAGTTACAAATTCTTCTGAAAGTAGCCAACTCTCACTTGATCAACAATCTCTGTGTGTGTGCATGCTCGTGTGCGTGCGTGTGTGCGTGTGCATTATATATTTATGTACATTTGTTTTGTATTATATATTTATGTACGCGTATATGCACACACTCATATAGAGAGAAATCAAAACTTATTTTCACTTATGAAAATAATAATGAGGCCTTTATAAATGATCTGTACCGTCCGCTGTGACTTACATGTCATAAGATGTGCTTGGACAACAAATTATTTATTTGGAGACTCCTAATCCATTCAAAAACTGGCCCCTTGTGTTCCATATTAGACAGTTGTTATTCGTACCTAACTCTTGTGTTCTATGTAAAATAATCTTTCATTTTGTTTCCATTTTTTCGTGACGTATAAACTAGATAAAAGAGGCATGGTGTCCCTCCATGCTTGTGGCTAGTGTCACTGTCACTGATGTGGCACACATCTAGGTCATTATAGCCTGCATTATCAACATAACCTGAACTTGGCTGAAGACTTGGATGCATACTATATTTGCATCAAACCAGCCAAGAGCATGGAGCGCATTCACATTTACTATATACAGTGAAACTCGTGCACGCGCACACACACACATGTATATGGATATACATACATACATACATACCTAGATACATACATACGCACAGACACACATACATTAATATAAACCAAATTCAATTCACAAGTACACATGCATGAGATTAATACAATATATTTTTTGCCAGAGTTTAGATGGGGATATGTTATGGGCTTCTGTACCCAATAAGCATTTAAGTGCCATAGCTCAGCAGGTGAAGCAATGCCCATTTAAAGTCATAGGAAAGGTATGACTCAGTTTTATTCTTCTCTCAGTAGCCAACTTGATTATTTTATTTGACATGTATCATATAAACAATTTTGATTCTTCAAGGGACAATTCAAAGATGAATTTGTCACTGCTGGAGGTGTTCCACTCACAGAGGTGTACACCAATTAAGATGAATCTTTTTTTTTTTAAAAGGCCTGTTTCCCATTAGATTATATCTAATTCATTTTCTTTGGTGCAGATCTCACTAAATACAATGGAGAGTAGGGTAAGGCCAAACCTGTTCTTTGCTGGAGAGGTATTATATTATAGTTTTGAGCCAGTTGGTAATTCTTTGGGCAAGATCATCATGAGAATTGTACTTCTTGACAGGTACTAAATATTGATGGAATTACTGGTGGATTCAACTTTCAGGTAACGTGCGGACAAGCATACTATTGCAAATTTCTGCCGTACCTTATGCAGAATCCTGATTATTCAAGCTCTATGTTTCTCACTTTAGCAACTCTAGAATTTTTTAATATTAGTAGTTTATAAAAGTTTATTACAATTTCAATTGCAGGTTTTGATAAAAGGTATGCTAGAATCTGGTCAGGCCAATTCTGCATTTAAAATTAGACCATAAACTTAATGTATATATAGAGTTAATACTGATCATGTTGAAAATTCTTGGTGAAATTAGTGGAGAAACAACCTGCAATGCTTTTTTCTGCTTCTGTTAATGTGTGAGGAAGAGACCCTTCATCAAGCGCACGCTCTCATGAATTAGTCACCCTAAACTTTTGTCACTCCCTACCCATTTACTTGAACTATCTTCATACAGAACTTTCTATAGTTCCTTATATCAAATAAATGGTTATAGTTTTCTTATTAATATTTTTAGTTTAATTGGAAGTATAACTTATTGCTGAAAGGAACTTCAGAGTAGTACAATGTGCATTTGCTTTTACCTTCTCTATTTTAAATGGCATTTAATTCTCATTTTGTGTGCTAGCAAAAGGTTAAGTTTAACATCATTTGTCTGTCCACAGAACGCGTGGACTGGTGGACACATTGCAGGGACAACTATTGGTGAATTTGCATCAAATTATTGCCAAAAACTACAAGCTGGAGGATGATAGAGTTGAAGTCGGAAGTCATCCAATCATATTGACATAGAATGATGCTAGTGGAAGAAAATGAACTAGGAAATATGATTGGATGACTTCCTAGTTCATTTTACTATATTTGTTACTCATATTACTATATGAGTAACAATTTCCTAGTTCATTTTCTTCCACTAGCATCTCATGGATATTTGTTACTCGTATTACTATATTTACTGCTGCAACTAGTCTGAAAATTGTTGTCCTGTCCAGCATAAAAATTTGCAATGCATTTTTTTCCTTTTTGGTTGAGTTTTGCTTTATTTGAATGACAAGGAAATGTGCCACCCATTAGAATGATGTGTCACCTCGAAACCAACTCCAGCCAAATTGGAGAGAGAGAAGCGGAACGTTAATGTGGAGTCATAAATACTCAACTTCACACGAAAAAAAATCCAAAGAGCCCCAAAGAGTGTATGTAACTCCCAGGCATTGAAATTGTACGCATCCACATGTGTATAATGTTGACGTACTTTGAATGACTAGGCTCCAGCAATCGTTGTCTTGCAGGTGGCAAGAAGTATATTGCACCTTGATCATTGCTGCGTAGGTGGTCTCGAGAGCGAACTAATGCGTGTATTCCAGATACTTGAGCTTGTTTCTTCACTGTACTTAAATCTACTCTACATACCGGGCATGAGTATCATACCCAAGAGCACTCAAATACATATGGACAGAACTGGAAGCCAAAGGGAAGCTCTTTTGTACATTTTAAGTATGGCTCAGAAATCAGTCACTATGTACATCCTCTTTCAACAGAGTAACTACCAATTTTTTTTCTTTGTGAGCTCTGTTGTAAATTGTAATAGATATTGATTTCTCTGAACTTTGGTAGCCAACTAATTTTTATTCTTTGCTTGTCGGCTGTTGAACCAATAGCCAGAAAAGGTTGTGATGGTTTTGTTGGGAATTTAACGCTGAAACCCCTAATGCAACAGAAACGCAGAATAGAAAAAGTACACCAAGTTTTAACGAGGTTCGACAACTGCCTACGTCCTCGGGAGCCATATAGATAATTTCTTATTAATTAAACAAGAAATTACAAATCAAGAGCAAATCCCAAAACTGAGATTTCTCAAATAAACACTGTAGCTACAGTGTTAATAATTAAAGGGTATGAACCCTTTTCAAGTCTCACTTGAGAATAAAGAATAACCCCACAATATAAAACCCTCTTTAATTTTCTCTCTCTCTTCTTAAATCCCCTCAACTACTGTTGAAGACTGGGGATTAAATCAAAAAATCGCAGCAGCGATTTAGGGCAGTCTGCAGCCGCCAGAAGAAGAAAATCGGAGGAGGGGAGGAGAAGCTCTGCAGTTTCCAAAACCCTAGGTTAGGGGTTTATATAGGCGGAGATGAGGGGCTGGCGACAGCCTGTCGCCAGCGAATAACCCTGACGCAAAGGTCGGGTTCGCCAAAAAGAACGCAGAGCTCGGGGGAGGCAAACGCAGAGTTCGGGGGAGGCTCGAATGCAGAGCTGTGCGAACGCAGAGCTCGCCTGTGCTGCCGAAGATCGCCTGGACCTCGCCGCCTGTAGCTTCGCCTGTGACTACCGAAGCTCGCCTGCGTCATCCTGGAGCTCGTCGGAGCTCCTCCGCCGCCGGAGGATCTCCCACTTGGAGACCAAACCGACGTCAGTAGGCTATCTCAACAAGCTCCTCCTCCTGTGTGGCTCTGCCCTCATCATCTATGCATGAAGGCCAACTGAAGTTGCGCACAACTCCAGTTTTTGAACTGTCACCGTCTTTGTTAACATGTCTGCTGGATTCTTACTTCATGGAATCTTTTCCAGTTTCAACACGTCATCTTCCAACAGGGATCTGATGAAGTGGTACCGAAGCGCAATATGCTTCGTTCTAGAATAAAATGCTGAATTATTCGCCAAGTGTATCGCACTCTGGCTATCACTGTACAAAACATGCTTCTCCTGTTTGAATCCCAGCTCTGTCAACAAACTCTGAAGCCATATCATCTCTTTACTGGCTTCAGTCACTGCAACATACTCAGCTTCTGTAGTGGATAGGGTAACGATCTTCTGTACCTGTGACATCCAACTAACAGTTGTAGTTCCAACGGTGAATACATAGCCGGTGGTGCTTCTTCGGTGATCAACTTCGCCGCCGAAGTCTGCATCTACGTACCCTTGCGCTTCCACCTCTCCCTTACCAAAGTGCAGACACTTCTGTGTGGTGCCTCGTAGATATCTCAGAATCCACTTGACCGCTTCCCAATGAGCTTTTCCTGGATTCGACATAAACCGGCTGACCACTCCCACTGCATGGCCATTGTCTAGTCTCGTACAGACCATTGCGTACATCAAACTTCTGATAGCTGAGGCGTAAGGAACCTGAGCCATACTCTCTTTCTCTTCTTCTGACTGAGGAGACCGATCCTTCAATAGACGGAAATGGCTAGCCAAGGGTGTGCTCACAGGCTTGGCATCGCCCATGTTGAATCTCTGCAAAACACGGTTGATGTACTCCGTCTGAGACAACCGCAAGAACCCTTTCTTCTTGTCTCTCGTGATTTGCATTCCAAGGATCTTCTTCGCTGGACCCAAGTCTTTCATGTCAAACTCCTTTGACAGCTGCTGCTTCAAACTCTTGATATCTTCCATATCTGCTCCTGCAACCAACATATCATCAACATACAGCAGTAGGATGATATAGCTGGACTGATATCTTTTGAAGTAGCAACAGTGGTCGGCGTTGCACTTCTGGAAACCTTCCTTGTGCATGAAGCCGTCAAACTTCTTGTACCACTGTCTTGGGGCTTGTTTCAGGCCATACAAGCTCTTCTTGAGTCTGCACACCAGGTTCTTCTTCTTATCTTCTGAGAAACCTTCTGGCTGGTGCATGTATATCTCCTCTTCCAGATCTCCGTGAAGAAACGCTGTCTTCACGTCTAACTGCTCGAGATGAAGATCTTTAATTGCTACAATACTCATCACGGTCCTGATAGTATTTAGCTTCACCACGGGAGCGAAAATATCGGTGTAGTCAATTCCTTCCTTCTGCTGGAAACCTTTGACAACTAGCCGGGCTTTATATCTTCTGAAACCATCCTGCTCCTCTTTCACCCGGTATACCCATTTGTTGTGGAGTGCCTTCTTACCCGTAGGCAACTCAGCTAGTTCCCACGTCTGGTTTGAGATGAGAGACTTCATCTCATCTTTTATGGCAAGCTCCCACTTGCTCGCATCTCCACACTGACAAGCTTCATCAAAGCTTTCAGGCTCCCCACCATCTGTCAACAACAGATAGTTCATGTATCTACTGTTGGGTACAGGAGGACGAGAAGATCTTCTTAATATCGGAGCTGGTGCGTCGGGCTCCTGCGCACCATCTTGTTCAACAGGCTCTTCTTGCTGAGGACCCTCTGCATTGGGTTCTTCCGAGAGGTTACTCGGGACATCATCTACATCTACAAATATTGACTCGCTCTCTGAGTCGTCAGTCTTGTGCATGTCCTTGTACATCACCTTCTCGTTGAATATCACATCTCTGCTCCTGATCACCTTCTTGTTTTCGTTGTCCCAAATGCGGTAGCCGAACTCATCTTCACCATAGCCGATGAAAGTGCATTTCTTTGACTTGGGATCAAGCTTATTCCTGCCTTGATCACTAATATGCACGTAAGCTACACAACCGAAAACTTTAAGATGTGAGAGTTTTACCTCCTTTCCGCACCATACCTCCTCTGGTATTCTGTGCTCCAATGGAACCGATGGACCTCGGTTGATTAAGTAAGCCGCTGTGTTGACCGCTTCTGCCCAGAACTGCTTCGGTAGGCCTGACTGTACCCGAATGCTTCTGGCTCTCTCCGTCAATGTTCGGTTCATCCGCTCAGCTACACCATTTTGCTGAGGCGTGCCGGGCACGGTTCTCTCCATTCTAATCCCGTGCTCATAGCAGAACTTCTTGAATCCGTATCTTCATACTCACCGCCATTGTCGGTCCTGAGCTTCTTTATTCTCAGACCGGTCTCATTCTCGACCAAAGCTTTCCATCTCCTGAAAGCCTCAAATACTTCTGACTTATGCTTTAGAAAGTAGACCCACACTTTCCAAGAGTGATCATCGATAAAAGTCACGAAGTAGTGTTTTCCACCAATGGACGCGGTGGTTGTTGGTCCCCAAACATCTGAGTGAACGAGCTCTAGCTTCTGCTTCCTGGGGGTTCTGCCACTTGTCTGAAAGCTGACTCTCTTCTGCTTTCCAAGTATGCATTCTTCACACATATCCATCTTCACTGACTGCAGTCCTGAGAGTTTTCCCTTTGTGTGCATGATTTTCATCCCCTTTTCACTCATATGACCGAGTCTCTGGTGCCACAGCTTTGAAGTCTCATTGCCTGCTGCAACTGAGATCGAACAACGTACACCTGCTGTCATATATAGGGTACCAGTCTTCCTGCCTCGGGCAATCGTCATTGCGCCCTTTGAGATCTTCCAATCATCTCCATGGAAGGTCGTGGTATATCCTTCGCCAGCCAACTGGCCTACGGATATTAAATTCTTTCTCAGGTCGGGAATATGCCTGACATCCTTCAGCTCCCATACAGACCCGTTCAACTTAATTTTCACCACGCCTTTGCCCACAATAGCACATGGTTGATCATCACCAAGATATACGTATCCAAGATTTTCGGGGGTATACTTCTCGAAGAATTCTTTCTGAGAGGTAGCATGGAACGACGCTTCTGAATCTAACACCCAAGATTCCTCCTTGCTCTCCAAAGAGCATATCAATGCGTCGTCTCCTCCTGAAGTGGAGGTGACATTCACCTCTGCCTTCGCCTCCTTCTCCTTCTGTGCACTCTTGCACTGATTCTTGTAATGCCCGGTCTTTCCATAATTCCAACACTCGATAGCCTTCGAGCTGTTGGTTGAATTTCTTGATTTGGACCTCCTGTCCTTTGATCTACCTCTGAAGTTTGATTTTCCTCGTCCGTTTCCTCTGGTTGAATTACCTCTTGACTCTGTATGCAATACTGAAGAGGTCGTAGCTTCACCAGTCTCTCGCCGTCGGATCTCCTCACTGAGAACCAAATCACGAACGTCGCCGAACTTCAACTTTTTCTTTCCCGACGAGCTACTCACAGCTGTGACTATAGCGTTCCAACTCTCTGGTAGGGAAGATAAAAGTATCAACGCCCGAACTTCATCATCAAACTCAATCTCAACTGAACTCAATTGGGTTGTAACCGTATTAAGTTCATTAAGGTGTTGTGCTACTGACGCGCCTTCCGCCATTTTCAGATTGAATAACCGCCGCATCAAATGAACTTTGTTCGCGGCTGATGGCTTCTCATACATGTTTGAGAGTGCTGCCATAAGACCTGCCGTGGTCTTCTCCTTCGCTATGTTGAACGCAACATTGCGAGTCAACGTCAATCTGATAACTCCGAGGGCTTGTCTATCTAGAAGGTTCCACTCTTCTTCCTTTATAGAATCCGGCTTCTTCCCCGATAGTGGTTGATACAGATTTTTCTGATACAGATAATCCTCTATCTGCATTTTCCAGAATCCGAAATCTGTTCCATCAAACTTCTCAAGTCCTATTTTCCCTTCATCTGTGGCCATGGCTCCCACTTGAATCTGACTTCCTCTAGATCGTTTCACGCTCTGATACCAGTTGTTGGGAATTTAACGCTGAAACCCCTAATGCAACAGAAACACAGAATAGAAAAAGTACACCAAGTTTTAACGAGGTTCGGCAACTGCCTACGTCCTCGGGAGCCACACAGATAATTTCTTATTAATTAAACAAGAAATTACAAATCTAATACACTAAATTTTTTTCTTTCTTTTTCTTTTCTTCTCAATCTAATACGCTAAGCGTTAAACAAAAGAATATCTGTCACAG